GAACATGGTAGAATTGAGTGGTTTCATCACTACAGGAATCAGGTGAGGACTTTTGCATAAGAGTCCCAGCTGTTGCTACCACTAAACGTTTACATGGCACCAGGACAGTTATGTCTTACCTAAGATGAACTTGTCATATTTTGATAAGAAGGACAGTGACTGTTACCGGGTGAAGACAAAGGGGGATTGCAGCACTTAGCAACTGAATGCAAGCATTTACACAATGGACCACTGTGACTCCCAGGGGCTGACAGTCTGAGTAAGCAACTTCGAAGTCACAAGTCATCACTCATCCACAAACAGGTTGAATTCCAGTTACATCTGAAATTCTAATGGTTGGGACTGCAGAGGGCTTTTACTTTTTAATTGAAGATTTGTGTCCTTTCCTAAGATTCCTTAACGCCAGTTTCTGTCAGATATTACAGCAGAGCTTTTGTGTCTTTCCAGCAGGCAGCTTATGTGTCGTTAGTCAGAAGTGCAATGATAGTTTGTGCCAGGAAATTAGTAAGGTCAGTTCTGAGTGATTCTCCAAAGAGGATAAACAATTTTTTGAATATCTGTGATGTTGAATACAAGTAAGTTAAACTCTGAGTTCAGAATTGGGGTCTTTCCATTTAAAGGTAAAGAGGGGCTGGCTGACAGGAGCCAATGGAAGGCAGAAGAAGGCATCCTTTAGATCCAGGCAGGTGTACTAGCAGGATACGGGTGACTGCAGGATGGAGAGCAACTATGGTGGCATTGACAGCTCAGAGATCTTGAACTGCCTTTACAGGCAGGAGAAGTGTATGTTAACAATTTGACAATCTATAAACATTTTGGATTTTGAATCCAGTGGATGTATGGTTGCATTGTTTTATTAGGTGACTGTGACAGCTAGCAGGAGGGTACAGATAAACAGGCTGCCTTGGAGTAGCCAAATCAGTTGTCAGAGTTTCCCTGAAATTAGTAGAAGTTTCCAGACCTTTCTGGAAATTGAGTCCAAATGAGCTGGCCTTTTTATCTTTTCCCAGGGTCTTGTTATAGGAACAACCTACAAGCGGAATAAGGCATCTTTTAAATCTAGACAGGTAAACCAGGTGGCATCTGGTGATAGCAGCCCAAGAAGGGTGTATTGGTTGGGAACCACAGAGTGCAAGGTGATGGCTGTGTTGTTGATGTCACAGGGAACTGGCATGAACAACAATCCCCTCTGAGGATTTTTACTGGGAGGGCAGGAGTGTTTCAAGGTGATTAAATAGTCTTTCAGGACCTGGAAGTGCTTTAGGTGGGTGATGTGTGGCTGGATGCCTGTTTGTGATTCCCACTACATAATATACACAAGCATGGTTGAAGGCCAAGGGTAGAGGCAAGTTTTTGGTTTATACCTCTGGAAGAAAGTTTTCAGAATTTCAGAATTGCAGTTATCTGTCTCAGACTTATGTAGGGCTCAAAAGAAGGATGCTGACTGTGGTGTGGTGCCTTTACCTTGGAGAGGAGGTCACTTCCTAGAAGCAGTATGGGGCGTTCAAGTATGCATAGGAACTTATATATGGTGAAATATAAGGTTGCAGGTTTGTGCCTGGTGAAGGGGTAAGAGGAAGACTTCCAGCTGCCCCAGTGATGGTAATGTGGGCTCCTGGTGGCCTAGCTGAGGAAGGGAGCCCAGTGTGGCCTAGTCTAAACCTGTCAGACCAAAAAAATGTTGTGTTTGATCTAAGTTGAATGATTATCTTTAAGTCTGAATGGGCATTTACTTTGTAGTGTCCTTAGCCCTTATAACTCACATATTTGTGTTTAGCAAGTGTGGTCATCTATCAGACTGGATTTTCTTGCAGACAGTAGTGTTTTTATGCAATGGAGGCCAAATTTATAGTCTGTGAGTTTTCAGGAGCCTTAGAGTCAAAGTGGTGTAGGCCCTGTAGACATCAGAGAATCTCTCATGAAAGTTCAAAAGCCTTTATCAAGCTTTTGTGTAACAGCCATAACTTTTGACATATTGTTGGGCTTCCCCCCTTCTTTGATTCCTTGAGAAGGGCTTGACTGTGTTACTTTGATCTTTTTTGCTGGCTGGAAATTTGACCTGGTGAGAGCTACAATGGCGTCTGCCAAGGTGAAATTTTTGAAACTTGTTCAGGCCCGGAGAGCATCAGGTTGATTTTCTTTTAACTGTACAGCCACCAGCAAAGCCCTTTTTAAAATGCTTAGATTTGCAATCAAGAACTGTGAGTTTTGTCTAATTAGTTTCCATTCCTGACACCCTACATGTGTATAGAATACCCGTAAATGATGGTGCAACTATGAGAGTGTGTCCCTTACAGAGAAAAAGAGTCCATTTAGATGCTCACCTGGGCCCTTGCCTCCCAGTAATGTTGGAACCATCTGGACTATGGAAAAGGATTGGTGGGTTCTCCATTTCTTTCCTTATTAGATGTGTATATGAAACCACAGGTTGGGATTCAACCAAACTCAGTAGGTTTGGAGAGGGATGTCCAGCCCCTCACTATGAGGCACATACACAAATGAATTGCCATTCATTACATGGGAACATTCTTATTCTGCTTGTAGGTTGTTCCCATGTAATTGCCATTCATTACAAACAGTCACACATTGATTCAGCAGGCATTCAGAGGTTAAACATTCCAACCCCTTTGCTCAAGGAAAATCCTGACTAATGAGAGTTTATCATGCTGTTCTTCTCAAGCTGAGTGGGACTGACAGACTAACTGGGGTGCCCCCAGGCATCTTATCAGAATCTGTCAGATAGACAGGCAAGCACACTGGATCCTCTTCCCTTTTGGGCCTGATGTGAGCCACTCAACAGGGAGCCAGGAAACCTGTCCAGACCTCTGAGGTGACTTGAGAAATTTTGAGGGTACACCTTCCCATCAGGACCTGGAGAGGTTCCTGCTTGTCCAAGAGGGCCTCAACCAGTCACTGAAGAGGTCAGTATGGTTGGCTTTCCCAACTGAAGCACCAGATGCTACAGCAAAGGGAAACACTGAAATGACACCCAGAATTTGGATGCAGTGTTGATAGGCATTGATATCAAGAAAAAGTATCAGGTCCCAAAGGCTCAGGGAGGGAGGTATTTTTGGTGTTTGCAAGCAAGAAGTAGAGTATTTGACTGTATTTGATCGGTTCTTACAATATGCATCATAGTGAGCTGGTGTGCATTACAGTGACCTGCTGGTTCTAAGAAAAAGAAAACCAGGAAACGTAAGAGGAACTGTTACCTGGGCAACTAATAGAAACTGAAGTATACTGATGGAGGGAGACATTGTCTGCTACATCCCAACTCTGATATCTTTTTAAAGGAGTAGATATTTTTTTGTGTTTGTGTCTTTATCTGTTTTTATGTAATAATCCTCATTCACATAAAGGGCTCTGAAGTCTCTCTTTAATAGGTTGGGGACTAGGGAGCTCAAAATAATTCCCACATCTTCTCATGTTTTTCTGCCTTTTTACCATTACATGTCAGATACTCAATAGGATGATCTTTTGCTCAATATCATTGCTCTGTGTAAGAAAATATTACAGCTTTTGTTCTTTTAAACTGAAAAAGACAGGAAATTTTACCTTATGCATGGAAAATATGAGCATGTTTGTGAGCCACTCTTGACATACTCTACACAAGGACCCAGCATGTTGTTGGGGATGTGCTTCATAAGCAAGGGAAGTATCTGTCTCCCACTCCAAGATGAAAATGACTTTGTAGATGTTAATCAATCTTCAGTCTATTAATCTGGAACAAAGAATTTCAAAATTTAGTGACTTAAACACTTAATATCTCATAGGTTCCATGAGTTGGAAATCAAGAGATTACGTGGTATAGGATGGCTCAATTGCAAGACACTTGATTCAGGTGGAAGCAACTTTTCATGAGGGCCTGCATAGTCTGCAGGCTTGACAGGAGCATATCATTGACTTCTGATCCCTGACAAAATTCCTGAAAATATTTAAGAACACATTTCATGGGAAACAAAAGCAGTCACATTGGCTTTTGGCAGCCTCAATTTGCTGCCTTACTGGTTTTCATTTTCCAGGGCAGGCAACCAATAGAGAGCAGAAAAGACAAGTGATAATCTTTATGATCACTCTCAGTATTGGTATCTAATCAATTAATTATTCTTTTGTTAGAAGCCAGTTATATATAAGGGTTAAAAATTCTGTGTATTGGCCCCCATGTTGTTTCCTTCCTCACAGAAGGTTGGAGCCATTAACTTAAACCTGCCAGAGTCAGAATCAAAGTTGTTTTACTGTTTGTCTTTCTGAAATCAAATGTCAATATGCAGTTTCAGCTAAACTTGAACTCACCATGTAGTCTAGGCTGGTCTCCACCTTCCTGTGGTACTGTAGCCTCAGCCTCCAGAGTGGTAGGATTATAGGTGTGTACCACCATGCGGAGCAAAATAAAAGTTTCGCACATTCAATTGCTTTAAGTAGCATAGTTTTAGCTATTGAGAGCCTTTCAGCTTTGCATACACCATGAAAGGATACTTAACATTTATTATCAGGATGTATGAAACTCTAAACACTGATTACTGTTCATAGCTCTCTGACCCTCAGATCCCTGGCTGCACTGATAAATGACATGTGTAGACACACCCTTCTTCAGTTCTCCTCTGGGAGTTCTCTCCTCCTCCCATTTTGTGTGGTGGTCTGTGCTCCTGAAAAGTCTGTATTTTGAAGAAAACTTGCTCCTCAGCTGGTCAAGTGACAGACCAAATGGAGCTACTGATATCTCACAAGTGATTAACTAATTCCTAAGCCCTAAAAATCTTTATACTCAATGGAATTCACACTCTGGGTAAAGGATTTCAGAGGTGCATAAAAGGTGAAGATAAAATTCATTGTGAGTTGTTGCAGTGGTTGCCACATAAGGTCCCCTTCTAAGTCCCCAAAGAGGCACATCTTTCTCAGACACCAGACAGGACTCTTGGTCTTGTGTTTGCATGAAGAAGGTGCTGAGGAGCACAAGGGTGTTTTTGTCTCACTTCCCCATAAGCTTGTATCACTGTGGAAATGGAAAGGGTTGCTATACTGCAAGGTACAGTAATAGGTGGCCTCATCTTCAGGCTGGATCCCTGTGATGGTGAGGGCAGCCTTGTCTCCAAGCAATGAGCCTGAGAATCTGGCAGGGACACCGGGGACCTGATTGCTGTTGTCACCAATTATCTGCTGGGGTGTTTGGTATGGTTTCTGTTGGATCCAGTCAACGTAGTTACTGGTTGTGACAGCCCCAGTACTGGAAGCACAGGTGAGCGTGACTGTCCCTCCAGGAGAGATGTACAGTGAAGATTCCTGAGTCACCACAGCCTGGGATTCGGCCCCTGAAAATAAGTGAGAAACCTGATGGTCAGGAGAGGAGACAGAGGCAGCAGTGCTGCCTTCCACAGCCCCAGGCAGAAAATCCCTGCTGACCTGTGATGTGAGCCAGAAGTGTGAGCAGGAGAGGAGCCCAGGCCATGGTGCAGACAGCCAGGGCTGTGCTTTTCAGAACTGCTTAGCACACAAGCAGCCCTCAGCTCTCATTATAACTCTTAGTGCCCTGCTAGGGGACGGCAGGCAGGGTTTTCATGCAAATGAGATTGCCCTGCCAAGGAGTTCAGCAACTTGTTCAGGTCACACCTACTGAGTTAACCCACAGTGAGTAAGCCACAATGGAACCCACAGCCTACAAAACTGTTCAGTTGTTACTTGCTGTCCAAAGACTAACCCCACAGCACCTGCTAGTGTCAGCAATGAAAATACCATTATGTAATGTTGCACTCCTATGTGCACAGATCAGGACTGCAACCTTCCAAAGGAGTGGGCGACAAAGGCTTAAATAAATGAAACAGGTGGTAAGGTTTTAGAGCTCCATTAGGGTCAAAGTCCTCTAGTATAATTTGAGATTTTGGGGTCTGAGACAAAGAACTTCTGTGTATGACCCATATTTATTTACTTTTCAAACAAAGGTAGGGGATACTGAAAAAAATGTGGGAGGTGAGCAAGACCTTGGAAGTCAGTATAAAGACTTCTCCAGGTTGTAAATTATGCTAATTTAGAAGAACTATCTTATCTCCAGGTTGACATTTATAGTAATACCTAGACAACAGGAGTGAGATGCCTGGAGCTGCAGTCTCTAGCTAGTTAACTGGAATTGGAGCCAGGTGTCCTCAGCTGTGGCCTTTTCTTATCTTGGAGATGTCACTGGCATCACAGGCTACTAAAGGCCTCATCCAGGACTAATGATTTATAGAGGTTTCCTTACATAAATTCATTGTTTGTCTCCAGAAAAGGGGCTGAGGCATGGGACAGACTCACAGAAAAAAAAGCCAGTGAGTCACGCAAAAAAGCCAATAAGTTAATTTTAACCAAGATTAAGGCAAGAGTAACCAAGAGTTTAACCAAGAGTTAAGAGTAAGAGGCATGAACCAGACTCATGCAAAAAAACCAATGAGTTAATTTTAACCAAGAGTTGCTAAGAGTTGTTTTGTAGTGATCTCCATCAGACTCCTGCAGGTCTTTTTCCATTTATAACCCCTTTTCCTTAGATGTTTTCTCAGTACAACTAGTTCAGTGCCTGGGATTCCAGGAGGAAGCTGGATAGAGACATTCTGGGCATTTGAGACTGAGTGGGTTACTGCTTTTCTCCTTAATAAGTTCCTCCAAGGCATAGACTTCAGATTCCTTAAGTGGAAGAGCTGAGACTCTAAATTCTTTTGGTCTCTGAATTTAGATTTCTTGATAATTTACCTAGCAATGAGCCACTTAGTAAGACTTAAAAAAAATTTTTTTTGGTCTTCTTGAGATAGTGTTTCATTGTGTAGCTCAGACTGGCCTTGATCTTACTTTGAAGCCCAGGGTGGCCTGGAACTCACAGCATTCCTCCTGCCTCAGTGTCCCATGTCCTGGGATTATAGGAATGTATCCCTAAGCAAGATTGTGGACATATGAGCAGCTGTTCATTCTACTAGGCCCAGCAGCATTTAGAATTTATTTCTGAATAGTGTGTATGGAGTACTCTTAAAGTATATGGTGAACATTTTAAAAATGAATGCAATAAAAGTCATACTTTATCCCCTTCAATATATTTGTCCTTGTTCAAACACATTTCTCCAATATTTCTTTCCCTTTCTAAAATCATTGGTAAGTGTTTAGATTTGATCAAAATGTGCTGATTATTACAATTGCAGGCCTATAAAAACATTCAGGTGTGTCCTTAAGCCACCACTTCAGGATATCTGGCTCCATGAGATGTCTGATGAAAATGATCATAAAGACGAGTGTTATAATTGATTCAGGATATCAAGGCAGCCATAAGAACACAAGAAAATATGAAACAGAACTTACGAAACTAGTTAAGAAAGTGGTAAGGATGATAGCATAAGTATTCAAAGTCAAAGAGAGTATTTTGAATAAGATTTGTAGCAATATGTCATTTAATGTAAAAAATTAAACATTGTCATGGTTACTTTACTTTCGTTGCTGAGACAAAATGCCTGACAACCAAAATCAAGGAGGAAAAGATTTATTTAGCTCACAGGTTGTATAAGTTTCAATTTCTAATCAGCTGGCTCCAAGGCAGGATGATATGGCACAGGGGCAACAGTTCAAGGTAGTGGAAGACAACAAAATCAACAAGAGCAAAAGGGGGAAGAGCAGGCCTCTTCCCCCTGCCTTAGATTGTAAGCAGGCTACCACCACCAACCCAGGATGTGACACACCAACTCTGTGTCCTCCTCTTGCACAGGCTGAGGCTGTTTACAAAGTAAGGATCTTGGCTCCCTACTGAGTCACTTAGTTAAACTTCTAAACTTCCCAAGTTGAAACAACATATCAACCATTAAAATCCAGCCCTTCTCAACATGGCAACCATTTACATTTCTTTAAACAGGTTTCCAGATACAAAGACATGCAGATTCTTGCCATTTCACAAGTTGAACATTATAACACAGGTTTAACAATCCTTAAAAACCAGTATTATATCTATCAATATTTTATTACATTAGAACCTTAATTTTTCGCTCTTGGCCCCACAAAGACTCATGTACATCCCTTTATGCAGAAGGCATTTAGTCCATCTGCAAGAGCTGCCAAGTCCTAACAGTTTTAGCATTGCACAAAGTCCAAGTTCCAAGTCTTCCCTGAGATCTAAGACAAACTCTTAGTTGCAAACCCCCGTATAAATGAAAACAAAGGTAAACACTTCCAGCATTCAATGGCACAAGATAACTATTTTCATTTCCAAAGTCACAAGTAGGGGATAACAAAGAATTGGGACCAAAACAAGTCCATAATCTACTTTCAGTAGATTCTACAAGTCCAGTAGTTCTACGTTCAGCATCTGAAGCAATTTGTGGCAAATTGTGTGCTCCAAAGTGCTTGAGGGGCTCCATCCTTATGGTGCTACTGGTGGTTACAGCTCCCATGATTCCTCTCTTAGGCTCACTTTGCTCCTCCTTGCTGCTTTCCATAGGGGATCCACGTGGCTGGTTTTTCCAGACTTTCTGTGTTTCCACTGCACCTTCAGCTTCTCATATTACCTTCTCAGGGGCACACTGCCTGGCCTCCTCCCCTGTCTTCTTCTTTTCTTTTTTATTCTTTTCAAATCTATTTCATTATATAAAGAAAAAAAATCCTAAAATTTTCAAAGCACAATTGGGGGTAACAACACATTGTGTATTCTTATCTTCATTTCAGTTATTCAGAGTACAAGATATATGCATTTTATTGCCCTAACAATATTAGCACAAAATTTCTCTTCACCGAACTCAGAGAAATCAGTAGTATAACTATCTTAAGTATCATATGCATTCATATACATATATATTTGCATATACGTACATAAATTGTTTCCTCAGCTTCTCACAGAGTAAAGACAGTATGATATTTACATGTGCAAGTATGATTTATTTCACTTAAGAATATTTATTTCACTTAGGAGTCTCAAATTACATCCATTTAGGTATAAAAGTCTCAAGTTTATCCTACTTTATGGCTGAGTAGTATTCCATTGTATAAAAATACCATATCTTTTTTTATCCATTCCTCAGTTGATGGGCATTTAGGTTGTTTCCAAGACTTGGTTATTACAAATTGTGGTGCTATAAACATGGGTGCACATATATCATTGTGGTATGATGTTTTTAATTTTCCTGGGAAGATACTCAGAAGAGGAATACCTGGGTCAAATGGGACCTCCAATCCTAGCTTTTTTAGGAATCTCCACACTGATTTCTATACTGGTTGCTGTATAAAAGAAACACATTTTACTCAAAAAACCCACATAGACTAAAAGTCAAAGAATGGAAAATAATATTGCATGTGACAGGAACCCAGAAAAAAGCAGGGGTGGTATTCTCTTTGCAGACACAGTGAACTTCAAATCAAGAATGATCAAAAGAGATAAAGAAGTTCATTACATATTTGTTAGGGGAAAAATTCAAGAGGAAAAAATAATAATCATAAATATGCATGTGCCAAATATAGGAACACCCAACTATATAAGATAAATATTATATGTACTGTCAAAGCAAGTACAGGATAAATATTGATACATATGAAGAATCAAATAAACAACAAATTGTAATGGGGGCCCTTGTACCCCATCATCCCAAAAAGATAGGTCAACTAGACAGAAAATCAACAAGGAAATAATAGTAGTGAGCCAAATCTGTGAACAAATGGACTTAGTGGGCATTTACAGTGTTCCACCAACAATATCATAATATACATTATCTCTTCTGCACAAGGGGTATTCTCTAAAATACAGCGTATACTAGCCCATATATTTATGCTGAAGAAGTGCAAAGGAATGGAAATTATTCTATACATATTGTACGACCATAGTACAATGAAACTGGAAATTAATGATGACAGAAACAGCAAAAACTCAAACACGTGGAAATGAAATAACTCCCTCCTGAACAATCAATAGGCCACGGGTGAAATTAAAGAAGAAATTAAACAATATCCACAGTCAAACAACAATGCAAATACAAATTACCAGAACCTGTGGGATGCAGTGAAAGCCATCCTCAGAGAGAAATTTGTAGCAGTCAATTCTCATGTCTGGAAAATAGAATGAGCACAAATAATCTAACGCTGCACCTCGAGCTCCTAGAAGAAGAAGTCAAAGCTGTAGCACACGGAAGGAAATTATTCAGATGAGAGCAGAGATTAATGCAGTTGAGATTATGAAAACAATACAAAGAACTAATGAATTGAAGAGCTGTTTTTTTGACAGAATATATAAAATTGACAAATCCCTAGCCAAGCTTATCAAAAAAAGAAAAGAAAAAACTCAAAAGTCGTGCATTGAAGAATGAAAAGGGTGAAATCACTCCAGACAGTATGGAAATTCAGAAAATCATCGATACGTACTTCGAAAATCTTTACTTGCATAGGATGGAAAACACAGAAGAAATGGACAGATTCCCAGAAATGAATGAATTAACAAAACTGAAGAAAGAAGATATAAAAATCCTGAATAACCCAGTATCAGTTAGTGAGACTGAAAATGT